TACTCCTAGCTACTCAGGACACTGAGATATGAGGATCTTAGTTTGAAGCTAGCTGAGGCAGGAAAGTCCCTGAGAATTGTACATCCATTTAATTACCAAAAAAGCCTGAAGTGAAGTATGACTCAAGAGGTAGCCTTGAGGACTGGGAATGTGGCTTAGTGGTAGAGTGCTTGCCTAGCATGCATGAAACCCTGAGTTTGATTCCTCAGTACCACATAAACAGAAAAAGGCCAGAAGTGGTACTGTGGCTCAAGTGGTAAAGTGCTATCCTTGAGCAAAAGAAACTCAGGGACAGTGCACAGACCCTGAGTTCAATCCCCAGAACTGGCTCAAAAAAAAAAAGGAGAGAGAGAGAAAATCTTACCCACAGTGGTAGAAACTGTGTGTCTAATATTTCTTAGTGTGCTCAGATATTTAAACAAAATAGGAATTCAGTATACTTTGGAACTTCTACTCAAGGCTAGCACCCTACCACTTGAGCCACAGTGCCACTTACGGCTTTTTCTGTTTATGTGGTACTTTGGAACTGAACCCAAGGCTTCATGCGTGCTAGGCAAGGACTCCACCACAAAGCCACATTCCTAGCTCAACACTTATTTATATTACTGTTGATTTATCAGATGGGAAAGCTTTGCATCATATAGTTTTTCTGTGAAACTTCAATCTTTTAATTACTAAACATGGTAGTTTGTTAACTTGTTACTAAATATTCTCATTTTATCTACTCTAATTTACAGTTAATTTTCTAAGTTTCATAGATATATTTAGACTTTTAAAATGTTTCTAAAAATTGGTTCCAAGACAAATATATTGGGGAAACTCAACATATCTTACACATTGTAGGAGAATCACAATGTTCCTTAGCCTACTGAAGCCTCTGATACTTGCCACAAAACAAAAAAGTTTAAATATATTTAAATTAGCATTTTGAGGATGTATTTATACATCAAACCCATCCATGTTGAAAGCAATTAGCATCTCAACAAAGACATTTCAGAAAATACATTCTAATCCATTCCCTATTTTCTTTTCTTCTCTGACTTAGCATTGTTCAGGAAAGCTTTTGTAAAGTATTGTGAATAACTTATTTTTTTTTAGTTTTTCCTTTCTCTGAATAGTGTCTATTTCTAAGAGAATGAAATTACACATTTTTTGTTGTTGTTGGTTGTGAGGTTTGAACTCTGGGCCTGAGTGCTGTCCCTCAGCTCTTCAGCTCAAGGCTAGCGCTTCACCACTTGAGCCACAGTACTACTTCCGGTTTTCTGAGTCATTTATTGGAGATAGGAGACTCATGGACTTTCCTGCCCAAGCTGGCTTTGAACCATGATCCTCAGATCTCAGCATTCCTGAGTAGCTAGGATTACAGACGTGAGCCACCGGCTCCCAGCTGAAATTACACTCTTATTTTTTAAAAAGTTGAAATCTTAAATTTACTTTTGTTTTCTCTAGCTAATTCAGAGGAATTCATAGAGGGGAATTCTGTTGATTCATCAATCCATCAAGTGATGGGCAGTGGAGGCCAGAGAGTTATCACCATAGTGACTGATGGAGTTCCTCTGAGTAATATCCAAACGGCAATTCCTACTGGAGGCATTGGCCAGCCATTCATTGTAACTATGCAAGATGGACATCAAGGTGAGTTATCGCCTACAGACAATTGTTTATTAAAAGATATTTTAAGGGGCTGGGAAGGTGGCTCAGTGATAGAGCGCTTGCCTTGCATGCATGAGGCCCAGGGTTTGATTCCTCAGCACCACATAAGCAAAAAGAAAAAAGCCGGAAGTGGCTCTGTGGCTCAAGTGGTAGAGCGCTAGCCTTGAGCTGTAGAGCTGAGGGACAGCGCCCAGGCTCAGAGTTCAGACCCCACGACCTGACCCAAAAAAAAAAAGGTATTTTAAGCCCAGTATGGTGGTATGTACCTGTAGCCCCAGCTACTGAAAAGAGACGCAAAAGGATGACAAGCTCAAAACCAGCCAGGTATATTCATGGGCACCCTATCTCAAAAGTAAAATATAAACAAAAGACTTAGGGGTATGGTTCAAGTAGTAGAGCATTTGCCTAGGATGTATGAGGCCCTACATTCAATCCCAAATTAAATATAAAACTGTAAAAAAGGTATTTTAGACATTCAGTAGTTCCCAAATATGATCCATTAAGACAAATAGTAGTCTAGGTGCTGGGAGGCTCACACCCATAAACCTGACTATTCAAGAAACTGAGATATTGGGATCATGGAGGATCCAGTTAACTAGCAAAAAGCCAGAGGTACAAGTGTGGCTCAAGTGGTTGAGTGCCAGCTTTGAGTAAAAAAACCTAAGCAAAAAAAAAAAAAGAATTGAGAGCCCTGGGCTGGGAAGGTGGCTCAGTGGTAGAGCGCTTGCCTTGCATGCCTGAGGCCCTGGGTTCGGTTCCTCAGCACCACATAAGCAAAAACAAAAAAGCCAGAAGTGGCGCTGTGGCTCAAGTGGTAGAGCGCTAGCCTTGAGCTGAAGAGCTGAGGGATAGCGCCCAGACCCAGAGTTCAGGCCCCACAACCAGACCCCCCCAAAAAAAAATTAGCCCTGCTGGGTCTGTAATCCTAGCTACTCAGGAAGCTGAGATCTGAGGATTGAGGTTCAGAGCCAGACAAGGCAAGAAAGTACATGCGACTCTTTATTTCCAATTAACCACCAAATGTTGGAAATGGAGGCTGAACTCAAGTAGGAGAGTGCCATCTTTAAGTGAAAAAGCTCTGGACAATGCATCTAGACCCTTAGATCAAGCCCCAGTACTGGCACAAAACAACAACAACAAATAGAGAAAGAAGTGGTGTTGTGGCTCAAGTGGTAGGGTGCTAGCCTTGAGCAAAAGAAGCTCAGGGACAGCACCCAGGCCCAGAGTTCAGGCCCCAGAACTGGCCAAAAACAAAACAATAAAAATAATATTTGCTTACACCTGTAATCCTAGCTACTCAGGAGGCTAAGATTTGAGGATTGCAGTTCAAAGCCAGCCCAGGCAGGAAACTGTGTGAGACTCTTTATCTCCAATAAACCACTAGAAAACCAGAAGTGGTACTGTGACTGAAGCGGTAGAGTGCTGGCCTTGAGCTGAAGAGCGAAGGGACAATGCCCAAGTCCAGAGTTCAAGTCCCACGACCAGCAAAATAAAAAATAAAAAAATAATAATATTTGCCAAGCACTGGTGACTCACACCTGTAATTCTAGCTACTGAGGAGGCTGAGATCTGAGGATTTTCTGCCAGCCTGGGCAGAAAAGTTCCTGTGAGACTCTAATCTCCAATTAACCACTGAAGAACCAGAAGTGGTACTGTGGCTCAAAATGGTAGAGCACTAGCCTTCAGCAAAAGAGTTGAGGGATAGCGCCCAGGCCCTGAATTCAACTACCATGACCAAACAAAAAAAAAGAACAAATAATAGAACCAGGCACTGGTAGCTCATGCCTGTAATCCTAGCTACTCAGGTAGCTGAGACCTGTAGGACCACAATTCAAGGTTAGTCTGGGCAGAAATGTCCTTGAAGGTATATCTCTAAATAACCAGCAAAAAGCAGGACTGGAAGGCATGTCTCAAGTGGTAAAGCACCAGCCAAAGAAGCCCAGCAAGTACAAAGATCTGCAAAAAACAAAAAAACAACGACTAATAGTGAGAGTAGGAGAATGCCAGATACAAAGAACCTCTCAGAAAAGAAACAGTCTGATAAAAGCTCTTTCTCAGGCTGGGAATGTGGCTTAGTGGTAGACTGCTTGCCTAGCATGAATGAAGCCCTGGGTTCCATTCGTCAGTACCACATAAACAGAAAAAGCCAGAAGTGGCACTGTGACTCAAGGGGTAGAGTGCTAGCCTTGAGCAAAAGAAGCTCAGGGACAGTGCCTAGGCTCTGAATTCAAGCCCCAGAATTGACAAAAAACAACAACAACAACATAAAACAGTAGTTCTCTGGCTGGGAAGGTGGCTCAGTGATAGAGCGCTTGCCTTGCATGCATGAGGCCCTGGGTTCGATTCCTCAGCACCACATAAGCAGAAAATAAAAAAGCCGGAAGTGG